AGCGGTAGTAGCGGTAGTAGCGGTAGTAGCGGTAGTAGCGGTAGTAGTAGTAGTAGTACTAGTAGTAGTCGTAGTAGTAGTAGTAGTAGTAGTAGCAGCAGCAGCAGGAGTAGTAGTAGTAGTCGTCGTCGTCGTAGTAGTGGTAGTAGTCGTAGTCGTCGTGGTTGTAGTAGTTGTAGTAGTAGTAGTAGTAGTAATAGTAGTAGTAGTAGTAGTGGTAGTAGTAGTAATAGTAGTAGTAGTCTCAGTAGTAGTACTAGTTGTACTCGCAATAGTAGTACTCGGCGTGGCAATCGTCGTACTACAAGTAGTGGTAGTAGTGGTAGTAGTAGTAGTAGTGGTGGTGGTGGTGGTAGTAGTAGTCGTAGTACTAGCAGTAGAAGCAGTAGCAGCAGCAGCAGCAGTAGCAGCAACAGCCATCGGCTTCATGCCCAAGGCACAGAGGCATCCGGCAACGTCGAATACGACAAGTGGAACACAGCCCGAGTCTTGGACCAAGCCCACTCTATGCACAAAAACCGTGCCCGTGTCTTTCTACATTGCTTTGGTTGGGGAACAGGCAGGAAATTGATTCATGGCGGTGAGGCAGCCGGGTAACGTTTGCTCGAAGAAGGACATGGAGCAGTGAAGCATGACAAGGGCAAATGTTATATAATTCATCCGGATAACGCTGTGATCCGCGGTATCGCCTGGCAATGCTCAGGGACACCGCCGCAAACTTTTCTCCGCCCATCAGCGGTGGTGGTAGCAAACAAGTGGGGAGACCCAAACTTCAAATCACACGGAATGGTTCAGGATTCAAAAATGTTCCTGCAACATATGCTCCCCCCCGAAGAGTGCAGTATATTGTTGCGCGTAGTACGCAAAGTGTTCACACAAACAATGCAACAGGATGTTGCGCGCACAATGGGGACTGAAAAAATACGCGCACATAGTAAGATTCCTAAGGTTTCAACTCGAAACACAACACGGCAATACTGGAGGTTCCGGTGTTCTCAAAAAACCATTGGATCAGACTCACGCCTTAACGAAATTGAGGACATCAATCCATCAATCTACTGTAGGATAATTAAAGATGCTGTTCCAGCAAGAGTACTGCGCGGAAGTGAGTTCGAACCCTATGAACGCAACAAGAAAACAAATTCACAAATGAGATAGATCCAAAATACATTTCATCAAAAAATTCTCGAAATGAATTCTTGGCGCAGCGACGAAAGAGGTTGATTCCATCCACTCGCCTTCTGTGGCACTGAGTCGATGAAATGATGCGACTCAAACGGCCAGCTGGCTAAGATGGGTCTGGCTGTGGGCCCAATCATTTCAGCATCATGCAAATTGCCCACAATACTCCTAAGAAATATCACACACTTGGCTGATTCCGGGCTGCACGCGCGCACGCACAAGATTTTACACGAGGCCTCATTTAAGTCTCAATTGGTGCCGTGGGATGCGCTGGAGGGTTCAGGTGGCGCACACCCCAGGAGGAGGAGGAGAAGGAGGAGGAGCAGTAGTAGTAGTAGTAGTAGTAGTAGTACTCGCACTACTAGAAATACTACCAGAAATACTACTGGCATTAGCAGTACTAGTAGTACTAGTAGTACTAGTAGTACTAGTAGTACTATTCGTAGTCGTAGTCGTGGTCGTAGCCGTAGTAGCAGTAGCAGTAGTAGTAGTAGTAATAGTAGCAGCGGGAGTAGTAATACTAGTAGTAAAAGTCGTAGTAGCAGTAGTAGTAGTAGTAGTAGCAGCAGCAGCAGTAGCAGTAGCAGTAGCAGTAGCAGCAGCAGCAGCAGTAGCAGATTAGTAGTAGTAGTAGTAGTAGTAGCAGCAGCAGCAGCAGGAGTAGGAGTAGTAGTAGTAGTAGTAGTAGTACTAGTAGTAGTCTAGTAGCAATAGTAGCAAGAGTAAAGCAGTAGTAGGAGTAGTAGGAGTAGTAGTAGTAGTAGAATTGGTACTAGAAGCAGTAGTGGCAGTAGCAGTAGCAGTAGCAGTAGCAATAGCAGTAGCAATAGCAGTAGCAATAGCAGTAGCA